CCAGTTCCCACTGTGTAGTTACCAGTTCCCACTGTGTAGTTACCAGTTCCCACTGTGTAGTTACCAGTTCCCACTGTGCAGTTACCAGTTCCCACTGTGCAGTTACCAGTTCCTTCTGTGTAGTTACCAGTTCCCACTGTGTAGTTACCAGTTCCCACTGTGTAGTTACCAGTTCCCACTGTGCAGTTACCAGTTCCTTCTGTGTAGTTACCAGTTCCCACTGTGTAGTTACCAGTTCCCACTGTGTAGTTACCAGTTCCCACTGTGTAGTTACCAGTTCCCACTGTGTAGTTACCAGTTCCCACTGTGCAGTTACCAGTTCCCACTGTGCAGTTACCAGTTCCCACTGTGCAGTTACCAGTTCCCACTGTGCAGTTACCAGTTCCCACTGTGTAGTTACCAGTTCCCACTGTGCAGTTACCAGTTCCCACTGTGCAGTTACCAGTTCCCACTGTGCAGTTACCAGTTCCCACTGTGTAGTTACCAGTTCCCACTGTGTAGTTACCAGTTCCCACTGTGTAGTTAGTAGTTCCCACTGTGTAGTTACCAGTTCCCACTGTAGTTACCAGTTCCCACTGTGCAGTTACCGGTTCCCACTGTGTAGTTACCAGTTCCCACTGTGTAGTTACCAGTTCCCACTGTGTAGTTACCAGTTCCCACTGTGTAGTTACCAGTTCCCACTGTATAGTTACCAGTTCCTTCTGTGTAGTTACCAGTTCCCACTGTGCAGTTACCAGTTCCCACTGTGTAGTTACCAGTTCCTTCTGTGTAGTTACCAGTTCCCACTGTGCAGTTACCAGTTCCCACTGTGTAGTTACCAGTTCCCACTATAGTTACCAGTTCCCACTGTGCAATTACCAGTTCCCACTGTGTAGTTACCAGTTCCCACTGTGTAGTTACTAGTTCCCACTGTGTAGTTACAAGTTCCCACTGTGTAGTTACCAGTTCCCACTATAGTTACCAGTTCCCACTCTGCAGTCCCCAGTTCCCACTCTGCAATCCCCAGTTCCCACTCTGCAGTCCCCACTTCCCACTCTGCAGTTCCCAGCTCCCACTCTGCAGTCCCCAGCTCCCACTCTGCAGTCCCCAGTTCCCACTCTGCAGTCCCCAGTTCCCACTCTGCAGTCCCCGAGCTCCCCACTCTGCAGTCCCCAGTTCCCACTCTGCAGTCCCCAGCTCCCACTCTGCAGTCCTGGTTCCCACTCTGCAGTCCCCAGTTCCCATTCTGCAGTCCCCAGTTCCCACTCTGCAGTCCCCAGTTCCCACTCTGCAGTCCCGAGCTCCCACTCTGCAGTCCCCAGTTCCCACTCTGCAGTCCCCAGCTCCCACTCTGCAGTCCCCAGTTCCCACTCTGCAGTCCCCAGTTCCCACTCTGCAGTCCCCAGTTCCCACTCTGCAGTCCCCAGTTCCCACTCTGCAGTCCCCAGCTCCCACTCTGCAGTCCCCAGTTCCCACTCTGCAGTCCCCAGCTCCCACTCTGCAGTCCCCAGTTCCCACTCTGCAGTCCCCAGTCCCCACTCTGCAGTCCGCAGTTCCCACTCTGCAGTCCCCAGCTCCCACTCTGCAATCCCCAGTTCCCACTCTGCAGTCCCCAGTTCCCACTCTGCAGTCCCCAGTTCCCACTCTGCAGTCCCAGTTCCCACTCTGCAATCCCAGTTCCCACTCTGCAGTCCCCAGTTCCCACTCTGCAGTCCCCAGTTCCCACTCTGCAGTCCCCAGTTCCCACTCTGCAGTCCCCAGTTCCCACTCTGCAGTCCCCAGTTCCCACTCTGCAGTCCCCAGCTCCCACTGCAATCCCCAGTTCCCACTCTGCAGTCCCCAGTTCCCACTCTGCAGTCCCCAGCTCCCACTCTGCAGTCCCCAGTTCCCACTCTGCAGTCCCCAGTTCCCACTCTGCAGTCCCCAGTTCCCACTGCAGTCCCCAGTTCCCACTCTGCAATCCCCAGTTCCCACTCTGCAGTCCCCAGTTCCCACTCTGCAGTCCCCAGTTCCCACTCTGCAGTCCCCAGTTCCCACTCTGCAATCCCCAGTTCCCACTCTGCAGTCCCCAGCTCCCACTCTGCAGTCCCCAGTTCCCACTCTGCAGTCCCCAGCTCCCACTCTGCAGTCCCCAGTTCCCACTCTGCAGTCCCCAGTTCTCACTCTGCAGTCCCCAGTTCCCACTCTGCAATCCCCAGTTCCCACTCTGCAGTCCCCAGTTCCCACTCTGCAGTCCCCAGTTCCCACTCTGCAGTCCCCAGTTCCCACTCTGCAGTCCCCAGTTCCCACTCTGCAATCCCCAGTTCCCACTCTGTAGTCCCCAGTTCCCACTCTGCAGTCCCCAGTTCCCACTCTGCAGTCCCCAGTTCCCACTCTGCAATCCCCAGTTCCCACTCTGCAATCCCCAGTTCCCACTCTGCAGTCCCCAGCTCCCACTCTGCAGTCCCCAGCTCCCACTCTGCAGTCCCCAGCTCCCACTCTGCAGTCCCCAGCTCCCACTCTGCAGTCACTGCCTCGTACTTTGCGGTCAGCAGGTTTGCCAAGGCACTCAGAATATCTGGAGGTCCTTGGACCCAGCTGGCGAGTCCCCAGTTCCCACTCTGCAGTCCCCAGTTCCCACTCTGCAGTCCCCAGCTCCCACTCTGCAGTCCCCAGCTCCCACTCTGCAGTCCCCAGTTCCCACTCTGCAGTCCCCAGCTCCCACTCTGCAGTCCCCAGCTCCCACTCTGCAGTCCCCAGTTCCCACTCTGCAGTCCCCAGTTCCCACTCTGCAGTCCCCAGTTCCCACTCTGCAGTCCCCAGTTCCCACTCTGCAGTCCCCAGTTCCCACTCTGCAATCCCCAGTTCCCACTCTGTAGTCCCCAGTTCCCACTCTGCAGTCCCCAGTTCCCACTCTGCAGTCCCCAGTTCCCACTCTGCAATCCCCAGTTCCCACTCTGCAATCCCCAGTTCCCACTCTGCAGTCCCCAGCTCCCACTCTGCAGTCCCCAGCTCCCACTCTGCAGTCCCCAGCTCCCACTCTGCAGTCCCCAGCTCCCACTCTGCAGTCCCCAGCTCCCACTCTGCAGTCCCCAGTTCCCACTCTGCAGTCCCCAGCTCCCACTCTGCAATCCCCAGTTCCCACTCTGCAGTCCCCAGTTCCCACTCTGCAGTCCCCAGCTCCCACTCTGCAGTCCCCAGTTCCCACTCTGCAGTCCCCAGCTCCCACTCTGCAGTCCCCAGTTCCCACTCTGCAGTCCCCAGCTCCCACTCTGCAGTCCCCAGTTCCCACTCTGCAGTCCCCAGCTCCCACTCTGCAGTCCCCAGTTCCCACTCTGCAGTCACTGCCTCGTACTTTGCGGTCAGCAGGTTTACCAAGACACTCAGAATATCTGGAGGTCCTTGGACCCAGCTGGCGAGCAAATTGAAGTATATGTAGCCCTGGAAAGAGTTTTTTTTTTTTTTTGCAAGGGACTAGCACCCACTATAAGACTCATTTTTTCTCCTGCTTCATGTCTCTCTTATATTGGGACATGGAGGAAGAACTAAATACATTTTAGACGCTTCGTGATTCCAAGAAATGCATGCCCGTGTTCTATAACCCAGCTCAGTCTACTAGCAACAAGGATGATAAGATGTCTTAGTATCCTCCAAGTGTTTAATTATTTATTTAAAGTCATTCACCACGACTTAAACTGAGTTTAGACACACACACACACACACACACACACACACACACACACACACACACACACACACACACACACACACACAAGGACAGGATGTTCCAGGGAGGGGACACAGAAACAAGAGGCCACAATTGGAAGTTGAAGACACAAATGAGTCAGAGAGATAGTAGGAAGTATTTCTTCAGTCATAGAGTTGTAAGGCAGTGGAATAGCCTAGAAAATGACGTAGTGGAGGCAGGAACCATACACAGTTTTAAGACGAGGTTTGATAAAGCTCATGGAGCGGGGAGAGAGAGGGTCTAGTAGCAACCGGTGAAGAGGCGGGGCCAGGAGCTAGGACTCGACCCCTGCAACCACAAATAGGTGAGTACAAATAGGTGAGTACACACACACACACACAGGGGACATGATAACGACTTACAAAATACTGAGAGGAATTGACAAGGTGGACAAAGACAGGGTGTTCCGGAGACTGGACACAGCAACAAGGTGACACAGTTAGAAGCTGAAGACACAGATGAATCACAGGGATGTTAGGAAGTATTTCTTCAGCCACAGAGTAGTCAGGAAGTGGAATAGTTTGGGAAGCGATGTAGTGGAGGCAGGATCCATACATAGCTTTAAGCAGAGGTACGATAAAGCTCATGGTTCAGGGAGAGTGACCTAGTAGCGACCAGTGAAGAGGCGGGGCCAGGAGCTTGGACTCGACCCCTGCAACCTCAACTGGGTGAGTACAACTGGGTGAGTACAGTTTGGAATCTACACCTGGTCAAACACGTCAAGAAATTAGAGAAAGTGCAAAGGTTTGCAACAAGACTAGTCCCAGAGTTAAGAGGATTGTCCTACGAAGAAAGGTTAAGGGAAATCGGCCTGAAGACACTGGAGGACAGGAGGGTCAGGGGAGACATGATAACGACATATAAATTACTGCGAGGAATTGACAAGGTGGACAGAGACAGGATGTTCCAGAGATGGGACACAGACACAAGAGGTCACAATTGGAAGTTGAAGACACAGATGAGTCAAAGAGATCTTAGGAAGTATTTCTTCAGTCATAGAGTTGTCAGGCCATGGAATAGCCTAGAAAGTGACGTAGTTAAGGCAGGAACCATACATAGCTTTAAGACGAGGTTTGATAAATCTTATGGAGCAGGGAGAGAGAGGACCTAGTAGCGATCAGTAAAGAGGCGGGGTCAGGAGCTGTGAATCGACCCCTGCAACCACAAATAGGTGGGTACACACACACAAACACACACAAGCTAGATGAGACGGGGTAAGCAACGGACATCCTGTACAGATAGTGGACAGTGGTGGAACTTTAAAAGTAATTCTTACCACAGTGTTCTTACAACAGTGTTCGTACCACAGTGTTCTTACAACAGTGTTCGTACCACAGTGTTCTTACAACAGTGTTCTTACAACAGTGTTCGTACCACAGTGTTCTTACCACAGTGTTCTTACAACAGTGTTCTTACAACAGTGTTCGTACCACAGTGTTCTTACAACAGTGTTCGTACCACAGTGTTCTTACAACAGTGTTCTTACAACAGCGTTCTTACCACAGTGTTCTTACAACAGTGTTCTTACAACAGTGTTCTTACAACAGTGTTCTTACCACAGTGTTCTTACAACTGTTCTTACAACAGTGTTCTTACAAGTGTTCTTACAACAGTGTTCTTACAACAGTGTTCTTACAACTGAAGATATATACGTCTGATAAACTATAACGTATAAAGTTGATACGTTTTTTCACTCAGTATGGAGTAAATTATTGGAGTGATCTTAAAATCAGCCCTTAAATAAGGGCACTCCACTTTAGTGGCGTCAGAGAGTTGTTGTAGTGATCTGAACCCTACGTCAGGATTGATGTGAGTGTAATGTTGATGTTGGTTGATGTTGGTTGATGTTGGTTGATGGTCTGTTGATGTTGGTTGATGCTGGTTGATGCTGGTTGATGGTATGTTGATGTTGGTTGATGGTATGTTGATGTTGGTTGATGCTGGTTGATGGTATGTTGATGTTGGTTGATGGTATGTTGATGTTGGTTGATGGTATGTTGATGTTGATTGATGGTATGTTGATGTTGGTTGATGCTGGTTGATGGTATGTTGATGTTGGTTGATGGAATGTTGATGTTGGTTGATGTTGGTTCATGTTGGTTGATGGTATGTTGATGTTGGTTGATGCTGGTTGATGGTATGTTGATGTTGGTTGATGGTATGTTGATGTTGGTTGATGGCATGTTGATGTTGGTTGATGCTGGTTGATGGTATGTTGATGTTGGTTGATGGTATGTTGATGTTGGTTGATGGTATGTTGATGTTGGTTGATGCTGGTTGATGGTATGTTGATGCTGGTTGATGGTATGTTGATGTTGCTTGATGGTATGTTGATGTTGGTTGTTTGCTGGTTGATGGTATGTTGATGTTGGTTGATGCTGGTTGATGGAATGTTGATGTTGGTTGATGTTGGTTCATGTTGGTTGATGGTATGTTGATGTTGGTTGATGCTGGTTGATGGTATGTTGATGTTGCTTGATGGTATGTTGATGTTGGTTGATGCTGGTTGATGGTATGTTGATGTTGGTTGATGCTGGTTGATGGTATGTTGATGTTGGTTGATGCTGGTTGATGGTATGTTGATGTTGGTTGATGCTGGTTGATGGTATGTTGATGTTGGTTGATGCTGGTTGATGGTATGTTGATGTTGGTTGATGGTATGTTGATGTTGCTTGATGGTATGTTGATGTTGGTTGATGCTGGTTGATGGAATGTTGATGTTGGTTGATGCTGGTTGATGGAATGTTGATGTTGGTTGATGTTGGTTCATGTTGGTTGATGGTATGTTGATGTTGGTTGATGTTGGTTGATGGTATGTTGATGTTGCTTGATGGTATGTTGATGTTGGTTGATGCTGGTTGATGGTATGTTGATTTTGGGTTTGATGCTGGTTGATGGTATGTTGATGTTGGTTGATGCTGGTTGATGGTATGTTAATGTTGGTTGATGCTGGTTGATGGTATGTTGATGTTGGTTGATGCTGGTTGATGGTATGTTGATGTTGCTTGATGGTATGTTGATGTTGGTTGATGCTGGTTTGATGGTATGTTGATGTTGCTTGATGGTATGTTGATGTTGGTTGATGCTGGTTGATGGTATGTTGATGTTGGTTGATGCTGGGTGATGGAATGTTGATGTTGGTTGATGTTGGTTCATGTTGGTTGATGGTGTGTTGATGTTGCTTGATGGTATGTTGATGTTGGTTGATGCTGGTTGATGGTATGTTGATGTTGGTTGATGCTGGTTGATGGTATGTTGATGTTGGTTGATGCTGGTTGATGGTATGTTGATGTTGGTTGATGCTGGTTGATGGTATGTTGATGTTGGTTGATGCTGGTTGATGGTATGTTGATGTTGCTTGATGGTATGTTGATGTTGCTTGATGCTGGTTGATGGTATGTTGATGTTGCTTGATGGTATGTTGATGTTGGTTGATGCTGGTTGATGGTATGTTGATGTTGGTTGATGGTATGTTGATGTTGGTTGATGGTATGTTGATGTTGGTTGATGGTATGTTGATGTTGGTTGATGGTATGTTGATGTTGGTTGATGGTATGTTGATGTTGCTTGATGGTATGTTGATGTTGGTTGATGTTGGTTGATGGTATGTTGATGTTGGTTGATGGTATGTTGATGTTGGTTAATGGTATGTTGATGTTGGTTGATGGTATGTTGATGTTGGTTAATGGTATGTTGATGTTGGTTGATGGTATGTTGATGTTGGTTGATGGTATGTTGATGTTGGTTGATGGTATGTTGATGTTGGTTGATGGAATGTTGATGTTGGTTGATGCTGGTTGATGGTATGTTGATGTTGGTTGATGGTATGTTGATGTTGGTTAATGGTATGTTGATGTTGGTTAATGGTATGTTGATGTTGGTTGATGGTATGTTGATGTTGGTTGATGGTATGTTGATGTTGGTTGATGGAATGTTGATGTTGGTTGATGCTGGTTGATGGTATGTTGATGTTGGTTGATGGTATGTTGATGTTGCTTGATGGTATGTTGATGTTGGTTGATGGTATGTTGATGTTGGTTGATGGTATGTTGATGTTGGTTAATGGTATGTTGATGTTGGTTGATGGTATGTTGATGTTGGTTGATGGTATGTTGATGTTGGTTGATGGTATGTTGATGTTGGTTGATGGAATGTTGATGTTGGTTGATGCTGGTTGATGGTATGTTGATGTTGGTTGATGGTATGTTGATGTTGGTTAATGGTATGTTGATGTTGGTTAATGGTATGTTGATGTTGGTTGATGGTATGTTGATGTTGGTTGATGGTATGTTGATGTTGGTTGATGGAATGTTGATGTTGGTTGATGCTGGTTGATGGTATGTTGATGTTGGTTGATGGTATGTTGATGTTGCTTGATGGTATGTTGATGTTGGTTGATGGTATGTTGATGTTGGTTGATGGTATGTTGATGTTGGTTGATGGTATGTTGATGCTGTTTGATGGTATGTTGATGTTGGTTGATGCTGGTTGATGGTATGTTGATGTTGGTTGATGGTATGTTTATGTTGGTTGATGCTGGTTGATGGTATGTTGATGTTGGTTGATGGTATGTTGATGTTGCTTGATGGTATGTTGATGTTGGTTGATGGTATGTTGATGTTGCTTGATGGTATGTTGATGTTGGTTGATGGTATGTTGATGTTGGTTGATGCTGGTTGATGGTATGTTGATGTTGGTTGATGGTATGTTGATGTTGGTTGATGGTATGTTGATGTTGGTTGATGGTATGTTGATGTTGCTTGATGGTATGTTGATGTTGGTTGATGGTATGTTGATGTTGGTTGATGGTATGTTGATGTTGGTTGATGGTATGTTGATGTTGGTTGATGGAATGTTGATGTTGGTTGATGCTGGTTGATGGTATGTTGATGTTGGTTGATGGTATGTTGATGTTGGTTGATGTTGCTTGATGGTATGTTGATGTTGGTTGATGGTATGTTGATGTTGGTTGATGGTATGTTGATGTTGGTTGATGGTATGTTGATGTTGCTTGATGGTATGTTGATGTTGGTTGATGGTATGTTGATGTTGCTTGATGGTATGTTGATGTTGCTTGATGGTATGTTGATGTTGGTTGATGGTATGTTGATGTTGGTTGATGGTATGTTGATGTTGGTTGATGCTGGTTGATGGTATGTTGATGTTGGTTGATGCTGGTTGATGGTATGTTGATGTTGGTTGATGGTATGTTGATGTTGGTTGATGGTATGTTGATGTTGGTTGATGCTGGTTGATGGTATGTTGATGTTGGTTGATGCTGGTTGATGGTACGTTGATGTTGCTTGATGGTATGTTGATGTTGTTGATGGTATGTTGATGTTGGTTGATGGTATGTTGATGTTGGTTGATGGTATGTTGATGTTGGTTGATGGTTGTTGATGTTGGTTGATGGTATGTTGATGTTGGTTGATGGTTATGTTGATGTTGGTTGATGGTATGTTGATGTTGGTTGATGCTGGTTGATGGTATGTTGATGTTGGTTGATGGTATGTTGATGTTGGTTGATGGTATGTTGATGTTGGTTGATGCTGGTTGATGGTATGTTGATGTTGGTTGATGCTGGTTGATGGTATGTTGATGTTGGTTGATGTTGGTTGATGGTATGTTGATGTTGGTTGATGTTGCTTGATGGTATGTTGATGTTGGTTGATGGTATGTTGATGTTGGTTGATGCTGGTTGATGGTATGTTGATGGTATGTTGATGTTGGTTGATGGTATGTTGATGTTGGTTGATGGTATGTTGATGTTGGTTGATGGTATGTTGATGTTGGTTGATGGTATGTTGATGTTGGTTAATTATTAATTCTAAAGCCCCCATTATGGGTTAAAAAGCCCCATTTTGGGTTATAAAGCCCCATTGTGGGTTATAAAGCCCCATTGTGGGTTATAAAGCCCCATTGTGGGTTATAAAGCCCCATTTTGGGTTATAAAGCCCCATTTTGGGTTATAAAGCCCCATTGTGGGTTATAAAGCCCCATTGTGGGTTAAAAAACCCAATGATGGGTTATAAAGCCCCATTGTGGGTTATAAAGCCCCATTGTGGGTTAAAAAGCCCCATTGTGGGTTATAAAGCCCCATTGTGGGTTATAAAGCCCCATTGTGGGCTTAAAAAAAACCCAATTGATGGGTTATAAAGCCCATTGTGGGTTATAAAGCCCCATTGTGGGTTATAAAGCCCCATTTTGGGTTATAAAGCCCCATTGTGGGTTAAAAAGCCCCATTGTGGGTTATAAAGCCCCATTTTGGGTTATAAAGCCCCATTGTGGGTTATAAAGCCCCATTGTGGGTTATAAAGCCCCATTGTGGGTTAAAAAACCCAATGATGGGTTATAAAGCCCCCATTGTGGGTTATTGAAAGAGATATTGGTCAATAATAATAAATAATTTTAGCTACAATTATAGAAATATAATTATTATTACATAATTACCCAGGTGTTAATTATGGCCAGATAGAAATATTTTATATATGATAATTATCTTCTGCTTCTCTAAAATTAATTTATTTTCGTAGAGACAAAAAATTCTGTGACAAATTACTTTCTTATGATTATTTTTTTCTTAATATATTTTAAAATAAATTTTTTGACGAGGGTAAACTGTTTTAAATTTATAAAAATAAATTTAAGGAGGCCAAACTTTTAGTTTTTTTAATAAATTTAAAGAGGATAAACTGTTTTAATTTTTTTTAAATAAATTTAACAATGGTAAACTTTATATTTTTTTTTTAAATAAATTTTTTGACGAGGGTAAACTGTTTTAAATTTTTAAATAAATTTAACGAAGGTAA